TATTAAGTAAGGACTTGTGTCGCTAAAGTTTCGTCGAACGAAGTTACGGAAAATCAATTAACAAACGGAGACGTAACAAAGTCTTATCAAACTTCGTGTATTGCGCATTTAATACTTGCCTTTTGTTTTACCTCAGATTATTATAGATCTAAAAACATAAAATAATATGAGATTTACAAATATTTAAAATAACTCGTGTTTCCAAAAAAATTTTACCACTTTATAGTTTTTAAGTATCGTAAAGTGAATGTAACGCAGGGATGCTTACCATTTGCAAAAGCAAGCTATATTGACAGTCCTGTGATGTCAGATAGCGAAAATGTCTAAAATACGTCTAAAGGTTCTGCTTGTAATTAGTACTTCAGTCGCCTGCCTACCGGGGGATGCTTGGATTGTGAATCTGAGGGTTCATGGTTCGCAGCTCGTTGCCGCAAAAATGCATTTCTTACTTTGGAGTTATGAGTGCACTTTAAGGGTGACAGTCAAATACCTCTATTTAGTCAACCAACAGCTGCTTTCCCTCTAGTCTTATTTGTCCAAATATTACAGATAACTATATGCAAATAGGCTTTTGTGTAGCTATGTAAAAGAAAATTTGAAACAAGCAAGAAACCCATTTCTGCTCATGCAAGAATATGATTAATATGTGTGAGTGTGGTTGCTGGCGATATTTAGGGACATTCTCAATCATGCAATCTTTAATTCACATATTTCACAATATTTTCGAAACTAAACTACATAAAATTTGCATACAGCACTTAGGCTAACATGTAGAGCTTCAGAAAATTAATCTGGCTTGCAATAAAATTGAAATAGACTGGCATAAATAAAACTCTTTAAACGCGGGCAAAGAAATATTTAGACACCTGAAGTCTATGGAGCCAGTAGTTTATGACAAATAAGAGCTGGAAACGTCACTGAAATAGTTAATTTCACAATCTTATTATGATAAAGAGTGAAAACCACGTTTCAATAGACCTGATGCATACCAATTTGCCTTACTAGTGCACTAAAAAATGCAGGAATACATGGAGGAGCTATATCAAGCTATAGTAAAGACTTAAAAATGTGTGCATTGTTTGTCATGGAAGATTGTATTAGCAATTAAAAGCCTATGACTGGAAGAGAGAAGACAAACAGTTCATCCAGGTTTATTGTGTGTCTCTCAGAAACTATCTAGTGGCCATAATAAAGTGATTCGTTTGGTATGCTCCTTACATAACAATGAGAGAAATAAATCCACTGGACTGTAAGTTTCAATGCTCTTGTTGAGATAGGACTAGAATATACCATAATTATTACGCCAGCAGCGAATTATTGAAATTCTAGCAGAAAAAAACCCCAAGAGAAATAGCCGAATATGAAATGCAATAAAGATAAAAATATAATGAATAATCTCCTTATATCCCAATTGGGATAGTGTTTGAAATAAAAAGAAAACGAAATTATGTAGAAAGTAGGGCAGTTTACTGTTATGTTATGAAAGCACTGATTGTTTCCCTGGAAAAGAAAAAAAATAAAATACTGCAGAAGGTAGTATATATTTTTTTATACTAGATCCACCGAATCTAGCAGCAGAAGTCAATATGTCTTAAACTTGGGATGGAACAGCATTCTCCCGGAGACAAGCACACACAAAAAATAATGCAATATGTGTTTGATGAACGAGTCATGCACTACTTTTGCTTATTACCTTGTTTTCGTGTCAGAAAACTTCATAATAATAATAATACCTAGAGGCATTCGATTCGCAATCTGCGGGTCGTAAGTTCAAATTCCATCACCAAACATGCTCGCTCTTTCAGCCGTGGGGGCGTTATAATGTGATGGCCAACCTTTTTTATTTGTAAAGAGCAGCCCAAACGTTGGCGGGAAGTGGAGTTAACTAGCTTCCTTTTCTCTAGTCTTTCACTTTTAAATTAGGGACGGCTATCGCAGATAACCCTCAAGTAGCTTTGAGCAGAATTCGACAAAGACAAAATAACGCATAGAATGATGGGACTAAAGAGATGTCTGAAAAGACTACCATTAGAATAAGCTATCACTTCACACGTGTATTAGTGACACATATTACTCTCTGGAGCTAGAATACATTATTCAAGAAAGACCGAATAAACACATATTGATACCTATAAGCATGAGGAATTGTGAAACTTATAAATGAGGCTAAAAAACACAATGCTAATCTATCCACACTGCAACATGGACAGAGGAACACAATCACAATTAAGACTACATAAAAACAAGACATCAACAGCACTTATAAGCAAACATCTTCAGGAGGGCCTTACACTGTAAAGACTATGCATTCCATCACTGAGTCTCTCTCCTTTTAAATTGAGACATTCCTGTTCCACAACCACCGCACAAACGCCAACCAAGCAGGTTATTACCTAAAAGATGCCTCAGGAGACAATCATGGGTGAAAAGATGGTATACAGCCACCACTGAGATAATTCGTCACCACCTGTTCTTAGATTACCATATGTAGAATAAACATCTGACGCCGCTAGGATCTGTGTAAATCAGCCTAGATAGAAAATGTAGAGACCGGTCATTGAGTGGAGCACAGAAAGTCTGTCAGTACATCTTTAAAGACCATGGTGGACAATGACGTGTCATCATAGTCACAGATGGTCCTTACATCAAAAAGAGCGACATAACTGGTTACACTTTCAGCATTTCAAGAAGTAACAACATTCTGCATAAGGCTTGTGGATCACAAGCTTCCCACAAGCAAAACAAGGGCGAAGTTGGAAGCCACAAAGAAAGTTCTTTTCTATATTGTTAAATACAGCAAACCGCAAATACATATTGCAGCCAACATAATAATTGAAAACTACCCACAGGAAATACTAAATAAAATCGAGACTGGTTGATCCCCAGACGGATGACAGAAAGAAAAGCAATTGCACGATAAGACCATTACCTGGATGTATATGCCAGGCCATGCAGATGTAAAGCTAAATGAAGACACTAACAGAGTTACATGAGAAGCCCCTTTACCAAATCCAGCACAACTCTACTGGCAAGATATGAACCTCCTTTGCACTAATAAGGGGAAAATGGCAACCATAGAAGGATTTACTCGACACTAAGAGGTGTAGTTAGGAAAAGCAAAAGATAGAGAATCAATAATAAACTATACAAATAACCCTCAAGTAGCTTTGAGCAGAATTCGACAAAGACAAAATAACGCATAGAATGATGGGACTAAAGAGATGTCTGAAAAGACTACCATTAGAATAAGCTATCACTTCACACGTGTATTAGTGACATGTGTAACATCAGTAAAGGAACTCTCTTCTTCCACGTGCGAAATATTCAGTCTCCATATGATGGGTTGGCACCTATCGGCGCAGTCCCTTGGATTGCCAAATAGTACTCAACTTAACTCAACGAGAACTTGTCTGAGATTCGCAAAATTCGTAAAATGTTTCGTAAGTTTCAGCATTGATTACTTGTATTACGCATGTACGTATTCAAAGTATCTAAGACAAGGCACCTAGAATTTAAGTGCCGCAGTAAAAACTGTTGTAAATATTTTTAATTTACCACATTATTTTGTTGGTCCTTGAACACCAAATATATGGGAAAAGTCCTGTTTATGAACTTATAATCCCTCCAGGCTCAAGAAAAAGGTTGAAACCCAGTTAATTTCATTTATAATTCTGTTAACTAGAAGTTAATATAAACTACAGTAATAGAGACTGCTCAGTTTACATATTCAATCTATTCTAGATAATGTTATATTTGTAGTCCTACAGCCTTTATATTTCTTCATTTTTATTTTGTGCAATAAACACTTCTATAAATTCCACCAACGATTTTTGCTCAGCTTGTTTAGAAACACCCAAACGATCAATAAAAATAAAGTTGTAACAATTAGCTTCTATTTTGATGAAACACCTACCAGAAGAGGGTGTACTAGATATGGATACGTTTTAATGTCTCACGATATATATAAAGTCTGAGGTTGAGATTATTTTGCTTTAGAAAGTTGAAGTTAGATGATGAGACAAACTATAAAGAAAAACTAAATATTTATTATTGTTATTAATTTCTATTAATGAGACTTACATAATGGTATATTTATACATTTATGCTACTGAAATGTTTTGACTGCAATAACCCGCAAGTTGAGAAACTATTTTTGTTCATGATAATTGATAATAATCATAAAAATAACGTGTTGTTTGTTGGCAGTATTCAGACATTCTTCACAACTTACAGTTAATTTCGTAACCATATCAAAACTTAAAAAATAAAATCAGAAAGTAGTTTAGGTGCTTCTGAGCCAAGAATGTCTGATAAAGAAGAGCTAAAGGTAAAACTTTGTATATTTTTCTGTATCATTATTTCATAACAAGCTACTGATTCGGAGTTTTTGAGTTGGTCTTCGAAATTTAATGAAGCTCATTAAAATTGTTAAGCCTCGTTAGGCTTAGAGTAGTTAGTGACATTTAAGACTTTTTTAAAGTAATTTTATTATTATTACTAAGATTAAAAATAACATTCATGATGCAGTGTGTGTTATTTTAAAATGGAATTTATTTAGTTCTACCTTTTGTCTAATGAAATAAAATGTTAATAGAATTTTAAGTTTAAGAATTATATTTAAATTAGGTGCCACAATTATGACGATTAACTATCAGTATCATTAACAGTAACACTGTTAGTATCATTGTACCAATAGTTACTGCTACTGATACTTGTGATAAATTATTTAAAAATTAATTTACCATTTATTTTTTTATCAAGGTCTATGCGTTTTGATATTAAAGTTTGTAAATAGTATAGTTTTTACACAAATTAAATTTTTTTTTAGACATTATGACATATAGTAAATGTTTTCTAGATTTAAGTACCAGAAACAGTGTGTATATGTGTTTATGGAGAACAAGGATTTGGTTCTTCAAGGCTGTCTTTGTTCACCCACTTGTGATGAAAATTAAAAGTTTAAACTCACCATTTATTTTTGGAAATTTGTCAATTTCCCATTTTAAAGATATATAAAACTGTCTTAGTTAGAGCATATCCTGTGTTTTCCAGATCTTAAAGTTGTGTCCTCTTGTCTTCAATATGCATCATAAATAACCCGTGAGAGAGAACCTCGGCATTGCAGATAAACAATTTTATTTTAACTTCATAGAAATGGCAGTTAGTATTGAAATATTGTTTAGGTATTGGTAAATATAGTTAAATCATGTAATCACCATAATTTCTACATGCCATTGTGTTTGATTTTTGTTAAAATGTGGAGTAACACCAAGAAAAACATTATTCACAAAGTTTTCTGTTAAAACAAAAACAATTTGAATTTGTCTCAAGCCTGTAAAATTCAAATAAATATATTTTTAGATTTATTCTGTATTAACATGAATTATAAATTATACTTTTGTAAGTTTTTCTCCATTATTTTGACTTGCTAATTTCTCATGTAATAGTCTAAAGGTGCACACTAGTAATTTAAGAAAATGACGATGAAGGGGTTTACATACTGGGTGACTCTCATTAAGTATACTAATAACATTATTTGTATAAAGGAGCAGAAAATGACTAGGATTATGATTTGTTTGCCAGGTGCCATATAAGAGAGATTAGCTGAGAAACTGACATCAATAGGATTTAGGAAAAGATTAGTTAATTTGATGGTTGGATGAGAGAAAGCAAAGAGTTCATTATTAATGAAGTCCAATCAAACTAGATCCTTGTAACTAGTGGAGAACATTAGTTGTCAGTGTTTGGCTTTGCTTTTTGTTATTTACATTTGTGATCTTGTTAGGTGCATAATTAATATTCTAATAGAGTTTCCTGATGACAATACAATGTTTGGTATTCCTAGCTATATTGAGGATGTTGAGACACTACAGAATGACATAGATGAATTGGTAATTTAGCTGGTTATTTGTTTAATGGTCTTTAATTATATTATGTACAAGGTAATATATGTGGATTACCATATAGATTGGAACCCACTCAATATTGTGACAGGAAAAAAAGGAACTTGGCACAGTGGCAACTAGGCACATCTAGCTACCGAGGCAGTGTGCTGTTTCTAGTAATAAAGCTAATATAATTCAAGGGTATTTGTATAACTATATTGATTATATATCAAGACAGAGGTAATTATCTCTACAACTTACTTATTAAGCCTTATTTGGAATGATGAGTACAGTTTTGGTCTTTTTTTCTAAGAAAGCATATTGTATTTATTGGAAAGGGTTCACGGGATGGTTGCTGTGATGATTCTAGGGATGGGAGGATTATCTTACAGGGATAGGTTTAGTTTCCTCACTTTTCTTTTGAGAAAAGAAGAGTAAGAGGTGATCTGATTGAAGTTTATTTATCGGATGAATGTTTTTATTTCTTTGCAATTTTGTCCCTAGTTTCCACATTTTAAGTGACACGTGTCCTCTTGTATCAAAGTTACACAGTGAAAAGTTTGAGGGATACCCCTGAGAAATATTATTTTTCATATTGAAGTGTAGTGTTGAGGATGAACAACTAATTTGATAGAATAGGATTGTGTTACCACTGCTTTGCCAGTTACTTTCATATTAAACAAGTTATTTTTACACTTCTAAACCTTTTAAGTTTCCAGAGACAAATTTTAGGTTATCTTTGTAGATGTGGCATAATTGATGTATGTAAATTAGCTATGTTTAACCTGGATCATCATAGGTGAGTGCATTATTAGCATATTAACATCATAAGAAGCAATTCAGTGGTCTGTTGGTTTATATTATATTAATGCAGTGATCTTGTTTGTATTTTATTACATGTTAGTATTGTAACTTATGCTACAAATTCGCTTATCTTTTGTTTATGCATAGCCTTACAATAATGATCCATAAATACAGAGAGATGTAAAAATAGTCATGCACCTAAACATGATCGGCATGGTTGGTGTTTCTGTTGCTTGCTGTGTAGGTAAGGCTTGATGATTTGAGAGATAAATTGTTTTGCCATATTTTGGATCTAGTACAATTCCATGCCATTGTCCTTCTGAATAGTCAGAAGAGTGAAATAATTTTATTTATGTTTATCACTTAGAACATATACATCAGAAAAACTTTGCCAATAGAATGTAGGCCAACTTGTAGAAATTTGCATTTGAGAGGTTAAAATAAGTGTGCCACCAAATCTGCAGTGTACTAATAATAAAAGAACACAATTAGTGAAAAACCACAGTAAATGGAACAAACTGTGAGAAGTCTGATATTAGGGTAGGGTTTTCAGTTCCAGTTGGAGAAGCCCATTCTTAGCCCCACACAATATTTTATTCCATTTGGGTTTTTTCTTCAATTCTCATCTTAGTTTGGCCAAGCCTTCACTGCTTCAGCTCATGGATATGGAGCTGGCAATCTCAATAGCCTCCTTTACCTTCTCATTTTCTCATTGCACGAGGGGTTCTCTCTCTTTTGGGGATTTTGGTTTCCTTGGAAGCTCTAATTCCCTTGGGTTGAGCTCACATGTATTCCCTTTAGTGGATGCTTCTCCACCAATGGAACTTCTCCCACAAATCCTTAAACCATTCCATTACCCTTCTCCCTGGGATCAGGGCCAACCTTGCATGGTGGCTCGACAGGGAACTGACCATGGTGGGGTTCCCATTCCTCCACCTTGTATAGAGTCTCATCTGTTTACTGATGCTTCCTAGGTGGGTTGGGGGCTTTCTTCAATTCCCAAGAGATTTCTGGTTGATGGTCTGTCAAGGAGGCTACTCTCAGTTTTAAACATCTTGGAAATTTTGGCAGTTTGTCGGGTTCTGTATCATTTCCTCCTGCTCCTGACTATTTTGACTATTCCACTATCATCAACTAGGTCACCAAGCAAGGGGGAACCAAATCCAGATCTTTGTGTTTTCAGACTCTGGATCTTCTTTACTGGGCCCATGACCACCACATGGAGATCTTGCATGTCATGTTCCTGGTGTTATGAATCTGGTGGCCGATTGTTTATCTCAACGCAACCACTTCTTCCATGGGTATTTTGGTGGGTGTGTTCTCCACTGTGAACACTGCATATAAATGTGTTTGCTAGTCACTGGAATGCCAAAATTCCTTCCTTTTGGTCTCTGTTTCCACACCCTTCAGCTCTGGGTGTAGATGCATTCAGTAAGGATTGGAGGTGTCTTCACCTATATGCCTACCCTCCAATCAGACTCTTCTCCAGAGTCTTTTCCCTTATCCAGACTACTCCTTGTTGTGTCCTGCTTGTTGCTCCATATTGGCCTGCTCAGATGTGGTTCCTTCTGCTCTGAACCTTACTAGACAACTGCAATTGGACATAGTTCTTTCTGATGTCACCAAATTCCATCTTCATGCATGGCTTTTGTCAGGTCCCTTGCTTCAGCTCAGAGACTCGCCCCTTTTCCCATTTCACTTGACCTTCCTCCTTGTCTGTGTACCAGAAGTGGTGGTATACCTTCAGACCTTGGTCCATTTGCCATGGCTTCCACCCCTCCTGTCCTTCGGTACCTTATCTTTCTCAGTTTTCACCTGGTTGTTTGATCAAGGGTGGTCTGTATCAACCTTCTGATTCTCTTTTTTTTGGAAAGCTTTCTTTTTCCCTGTTGTTTTCCTCCTTTTCTGTTTCTTTCATTTTGTCTCTCCTCCATGTTCCTTTATTTTGCCATATTGGATCTCAGTTTTGACTTTCATGCCTTGTCCAGTTCTCCATTTGAACCCATTGCAAGGTACTTCCCCTGGGTGTTTTTGCCCGGGTGAACTGCACCTTTTGATCGCTATATACAAGGCATTTCCACTGTATGATTTGCCCGGATGGACCGCACTTTGTGTAATCCAGTGTAACCTAAGGCACTTTTTGTGGCACATACATACATATAAGGGAAAGTGGTTGCATACACACAAACCTTTCCATATTTGTCAACACCATACTGATTTATGTATTAGTTATCCAGAACTTCCTATGCTGACTCAGTTCTGTATGTCTCTTTATTGATTTCAGTTGTGCCTGTCAATTCAGTTCTTCCACAATTGTGTTACTGTATTGATTGCTGTTCCAGAAGTAGTGTTGTACCCCACTGGTGTGCTTTCTTTTTTATATGTTAGTACCCCCGTTCTTTCAGTGTGATCACTTTCCACTTGGTTTTGAGATTGATGCACCTTCACAAGCCCTTCCACCTTGGCAATGTGGGATTCTAGCTTTGGATGAGAGGAGGTAGTACAATTTCGGAAGTTAATGTTTTCTTACTCTGAAAATATATTTCCAATAGGTACTTGCCTCCTCTCACCCACTTCCCACTCTTCCTCCTCTTCGAGATGCCAGTGTTTATAGTTTATACTTGCCAATTCTCAAAAG